ATTTTTACACACTGAGACCTTGAGGTTAAATAAGATTGAAACCATTTAATAGCCATTTGGTCAAAGTGATATGATTGAAGTTTACTTATAAGAATATCATGATTAACCAAATCAAATGCCTTGCTAAAATCGATGAAAGTTATGCCTACTAAATTTCCTTGGTCTATAGCTTGAAGCCAATTATCTGTAAGTTTTGTTAGAGCCGTTTGACATGAGTGAAATTCTCGAAATCCAGATTGTGATTTAAATAAGAGATCAAAGCTATAGGTAAAGTTACGTATCTGATTGGCTATGTGTTTTTCAACTAATTTTGATAATGTTGGAAGAATGGATATCGGTCTGTAGTTCCCTGGATCTGCGTGGTCGCCATTTTTGAAAATAGGAGTAACTTTTGCTTGTTTTAAACGGGATGGAAACACTCCATTAGTGATGCTAGTATTTATAAGATGTGTAATAGATTTGCATATAACATTTGCCGAAAGCTTTAGAAGACGAGGTCCAATCAGATCTATACCGGCTGACTTGTTTACATCAAGTGTATTCAACATATTTAATACTTCAAACTCACTTATATGATTTATACTGAAAACATTTTCTTTCCCTAGTTTAGTTTCTGTAAAACTATTTAATAATTCTGAATCAAAACTTTCTACTGACATATCTGCTAATAATTTACAGGATATTTCAGTAAAGTGTTTGTTAAAAATATCAACAATATCCTGTAAATCTTCGAAATCCGTACCATTTTGTGTTATACGGGTAGGTGTGAAATTTTTTGAATCTGATGCCAATTGGTTTAAATAACTCCACATTTCTTTAGGACTTGAACTATCTTCAATTGCTGATTTGTAATACTTTGATTTGGCTTGATCTATTAATTGTGTGACTTTATTTCTCCAAAATTTGTAATTTTCTGAATTTCTTTGTAGATGGTATGTATCACGTAAATGTCTAGCATCATTTATTTCCTGAGTAAGCCATTTAGGTCGAATTTCAGTCTTGACTCTTTTAGTTTTTACTTTGGCATGCATGTTAAGAATATCATTAAATAATTCATAAAATTTAATCATGATCTCGTTTGTGTATTTTAGCTCAAGAAGTGAGTTAAAATTTGCATTTTCTAAATCTCTTAAAAACTCATTTTCATTGAATTGTTTAAAATCTCGATATTGGATTTCAGTATGTTTTCCTCTACGCTGTATACAATTAGTTTTCCGTGTCAAACATACAGGGTAGTGGTCAGATATAGCAATAGGGGGTACATTTGTTTCACATATGTTTTCTGGTTTCGTTGTATAAAAATGATCAATTAAGGTACTTGAGGTACTTGTTATTCTAGTAGGAACAGTAACTATCTGTGAAAGTCCAAACTCCTCTAAAGCAGATGCCCAGTATTGTGGGGGGTCTTTCATTAGATCAATATTGAAATCACCTGATAAAATTATTTCAGTATCGTCACAGCAGGAGGCACGGTTCACCTCCCTTGCTAGGTCCTCCGCCCAGCAGGAGGGGGCAGATGGTGGACGATAAGCAGAGCAATAAAATATAGGTTTTGAATTTTTCAGATTTATCTCTAGCCAGATTGTCTCAATGTTACTGATTTCTAAATCAGCTCTACGTTTATATGAAATTTCATTTGAAATGTATATTAAGATTCCACCACCTGCCCTTAGTAAACGATCTTTTCTTTCAAAGACAAAGCCCTCAATATTCAATTCAGAGTTGCCTATCTGCTCAGTCAAAAATGTTTCACATAAACCTAAAATATCTAAAGTTTGTCTGTTTTGAAGTAATAGTTTAATTTCATCTTTTTTGGGGATAATATGACGAATATTTAAATTTCCGAATCGTAAACCTTTTTTTACCAATCCAAATCCTTGATTTTTATGTGTTGTTTGAATATCATTGTTATGGGTCAGAGGAACCGTTTTCTTTACTTGTGAAACAGAATTGAATGAGCCTGGCATAGGAGAAATGACAGTAGTTTGTTTAGCTGAACTAGGGCTACTTTTAGAATTTGTGATCGATTGATTCTTACATTTAACTTGTGGTTCTCTTGTCAATTTAAAATTTGTAGAGTTATAACAGTTATCAGTATCGTCACATAAACATTGAAAGTTATTACATTCATTACAAATAATGCTAAGGATAGAAAAAGTACTAGAATTTGATATAGATTTAGTACGGTTGTTAACGGCTACGCATTCTTTGCCTGATACCTAGAACATGTAAGGACAGGATTTCGTCTTGTGTCCTAATTCCCCGCAATTCCAGCAATCAAGCTTTCGTCCGTGTCTACAGTGGCGCGATGTGTGTCCGTGTTCACTGCAGAAGTAGCAAGTCACAGACTGGTAAAAACTTGCATTGGAGTCCGCTATGTTTCGACCGGAATTTCCCCGTAGAATTGAAACTTCCCTATTAATCCGTCTGAGTAGCATCGACGTCCCCTTGTCTGAGAGATGAATCCCATCTTTCCAATACTGAATGCCCTTTGCCTCCTTGAATTCACCTTTGTCGGAAATAAAGAGAGCTCCATACTCATAACAAACATATTTAAGTGTGGTATTCACATGGGATACATCCACATCCCGTCTTGGTAACACTTCGGAGAAATACACTTTGGTACCCGGAGAACGGTGTTTGATGCTGGAGATGATTTCGGCAGCGTCATGTTCAATGGCGTCCATGTCCCGATGAGATGAGGCATCATTTCCCCCGGCTTGGATAATAATGTGCGAGTATTCTGCTACATTTATTTTGAGAAGCTTAGCTTTGATGTTGGAAAGCTTAGCCCCTCTGTTTGTCCGTACATGAACACCCTTTTGTAGTCCTCTGGTTCTTATCCGTTGTAGAATTGAACTGCCAATTATAAGTTTGGCAATCCCAGAGTTTTCCTGTTGTTCATTCGTACCCGTAGATCTTGGAGGTGTTTGTATCGGATGGTTCCGTGGTTCCGTGTTCGTGCCAGAATCAGCTGTAGACTTTGCGTTCTTTTCCGGTAAAGGATGTTCGCATTGAGTATGTCTAGAAACAGAATTATTTGGCACCAAATTCAAACCGCGTACGTCTGTTTCCTTGTTTTTCACAACCTTGATTGACGTCTGGGTATTTTTGTCAAGCATTATTTGTTTGTCATGATCCGTTTCTTTTCGACACTTTAGTTTTTCTTTCAGGTCTTGTAATTCTTTTGCTAAATTACTAATTGCCAGTTGTAAAGATTGAATTGTACTTGCGCACTGTGTACAATTTTGTACATCACTAGACAGACTGGTCGACATAAGAGAAGCACTTTTGACTGGTGTTGATGCCATTTGTGGTGTTGATTGTTCAAGAACATTACTAGTATCGTTAGTGTCCTTACTCTTGATGTCTTGAATGAATTTGTCAAGCCAGGTATTTGCTGACGAACCTTGAATATGTAAGACGCTTGTCCCAGCATAGAGAGTGGCCGTCACAGAATCACAATCAGACTTGAAAATCTGTCCATTTTTTCCTACTTCTTTAATTGTTTTTAATTCTTCTTTCAAATAGTTCAAAATTGTTTCATATTTCTCCTGTTGGAATGACACAGTTATACTGTACTTGTTAAAAGTCACGTTTAGATAGTGTGGTATACTCACATCAGTAGTGGTGATATTTTCATCTCCATCAAATGATTGTGTAAGTCCAGAAAATGATTTAAATAAGCTTGAATTAATACTTTGATCCATATATTCATTAGACACAGCCATATATTTTGGCTAGGGAAACATAACACAATTACACATGGTAATTTAACAAAGACAACAGGTGAGATCTTGACGACCAGCTTAATCATCATATCCATGCAATCCCCTCATTTCCAGTCCTCGGAATCCATGGAAAATTCCAGATTTAATAAATGTACCTTCAACTTTAATCAATTACTCGTTCTTACCTCATGTAAACAAACATCATGGCTGCTAGATCTATGAATCAGTCATTACCTCCCCTCGCTTCAAATCACTTCCGTTACTACGGTTGTATTATTGCGCGGTAAATTTGAACTTATAAAAAGCAACACAATTTTACATCAAAAGTTGTTTAATTATTTTAAAATTAAATTATAAGGAATGACTTTAATTCTTGGCCATATTATCGAGTATAATCTGGTTTGGGTCAGTTTACGCGTTTTTATAATACGCGTGGCGGATTATAAAGCGTAAACTGACCCAAACCAGATTATACTCGATAATATGGCCAAGAATTAAAGTCATTCCTTAAATATGTACAACTTGGAATTCCCTATTGTGGCCCCGCCCTACCCCAGCGGTCATGATTTTAACAATTTAATATTTACACTACCCAAGGATGCTTCCATATAAGTTTCAGCTTTCCTGGCCCAGTGGTTCTTGTGAAGAAGATATTTAACGATTTGTTCCTAATCTATTTCTATGTAAAATTTGGATTCCCTATTGTGGCCTCGCCCCCGGGGGTCATGATTTTAGCAGTTTAATATCTACACTACCCAAGGATGCTTCCCTATTAGTTTCAGCTTTCCTGGCCCAGTGGTTCTTGAGAAGAAGATTTTTTAGTGATCCCTCCTATTTTTGTCTTTTCTTGATTATCTCCCCTTGTAAGGGGACTTAGCCCTTCTTTTCAACAATTTAAACTCCCCTTCACCCAAGGATGTTTTGTACCAAGTTTAGTTAAAATCGGCCCATTGGTTCTTGAGAAGAAGTCGAAAATGTGAAAAGTTTACAGACGGACGGATGGACAGACAGACGGACGGACGACGGACAAAATGTGATCAGAAAAGCTCACTTGAGCCTTCGGCTCAGGTGAGCTAAAAAGTGTATGAGACTAGTGTGTCAAAAACGACTCAATGATAGATCATAGATTATTTGGCTTGCAAGGCCATTTCAACAACCAAATTATATCTATAGATTTTGTACCGGTACATCCCAATTTGTTTAATACGGTTTATTCACAAAAATAAATATAGTTTAGTTATTGTTTTATTTTGTTAATTTAAAGGTAGAGTTCACAGAATAAAGACTGCTGTGCTTCCCCATCAAGAACTGAGGTTTGGATGGACAGAGATAAGCGGAGATTTCTTTGTACCAGCAGGTAAAAATTAATGATGAAATCAATAACAAACTGGTTAAATGGGACTTGTTACACGAGATGGTGGCTTTCCAAATATTATTGTCCCACCTTCGCGAAAGCGAGGGGACATTAAATCTCATTCGTCTGTCTGTCTGTCCGTCAGTCTGTCCGTCACAAAAACTTGAACCTTGCCCATAACTTGTCCTTTAGTGGAGCTATGACTTTCATATTTCACATGTGTATTCCTTGTGACAAGACCTTTCTTTGGGTACCACCAAATTTGACCTTTTGACCTTGATCTTGGAGTTTGACCCACTTTTACACAAAAATTCCAAACTTTTACTTTGGCCATAACTTTTGAATAGTAGGTACTAGGACTTTCAAATGTCACATATGCATTGTTTGTGGCAAAACCTTTCATTGGATAACAACAATCTTGACCTTTTGACCTTGATTTTCGAGATTTACGTACTTATGAAAAAACTTTAACCTTGACCATAACTTTTGAACGGTGAGGACAAAGGCTTTTGTACTTCACATATGTAATCCTTATGAGAAGACCTTTCATTAGATACCAATAACTTTTGCCCTTTGACCTTGACCTTGGAGTTTTAATTACATTTTAAAAACTTTAACCTTAGTTACAACTTTTAAACAGTAGATACTAGGACTTTTATATTTTACATATGTATTCCTTTGGCAAGACATTTCATTGGATACCAACAACCTTGACCTTTTGACCTTGGAGATTTATGTACTTATGAAAAAACTTTAACTTTGACCATAACTTTTGAACGGTGAGGACTAGGGCATTTGTACTTCACATATGTGATCCTTTTGAGAAGACCTTTCATTGGATACCAATAACTTTTACCCTTTGACCTTGACCTTGGAGTTTTAACTACTTTTTAAAAATACTTTAACTTTGGTCACAACTTTTGAACGGTAGATACTAGGACTTTTATATTTTACATATGTATTCTTTATGGCAAGTCCTTTCATTGGATATCAACAACTTTGAATTTTTGACCTTGACTTTAATGTAACCAAGCGGAGATGAAGAACGCAGGTTCAGTTTAATAAATTTATTTGGAATGAAAAAGCAATGGCAGATCTACAAATACAAAAACATATATACAATATCATAATACACATAGACACTGAGACAAAATACTTTTATTTCCTATTCACTACAAAAATAAGAAAATTTAAGTTTACTAAGCCCAAAAACGTCAATTTCATAGTTTAAAATACCTTTCTCTCAAAATATGAAAAATACTTGAGATTATAACTTGGACTTAATAAATAAAATACAAAAATTTGATAGACTAAGAAAATTACCTTTCAAGTGGTGACAACGGGCAGCTGGTAATATGTAAGTTAAATTTCCCGCACTAACAGGGATGGGCCCATGCCTCAGTATATATAGCAGAAAAACTGGTTAAACAAGGGGGTACAAGTTTACTGGCCAATGAGATTTTGTGAGTAGAACTCATGAATGGAGACTACTACCAGATATGGCATAAAGTAAATTATGGCTCAGTAAGGCATTCAATAAAGATAAAAAATTATTTTAAATAAATATGACTCCGCCACATTAAAGATTTATGTACTTATAAAAAAAACTTTAACCTTGACCATAAATTTTGAACAGTAAGGGCTAGGGCTTTCATACTTCACATATGTAATCCTTGTGAGAAAACTTTTCATTGGATATCAACAATTTTGACCCTTTGATCTTGACCTTGGAGTTGACCTACTTTTAAAAATCTTTTTACTTTGGCCATAACTTTTTAACGGTCAGGATTAGGGTTTTCATCCTTCAAAAAAATCAACTTCAGTGTTACTTTTTAAATAAATGACATATGATAGGATGTTCGTATTACACACAATATGTCATAAAAATAACATCTCACCCACAAAGACAACGAAAGCGGGGGACCACAATTCTTTGAATTTGCTTGTTTGTATTGCCGACTACGCATGGAACTGATTTTTGCTTCATTTCAAGTAATTTTATATAAAATAAGTAAGTGAAAAAAATATGTAAACTAATATGCAGCTTAAAGAAATATTAAAATAGGTCAGTATTAAAACAAACACAAAAATTATTTTTTATGACATATTGTGTCTAATATGAACATCCTATCATATGTCATTTATTTAGAAAGTATCATTGAAGTTGATTTTTTTGGAAGGATGAAAACCCTAATCCTGACCGTTAAAAAGTTATGGCCAAAGTAAAAAAGTTTTTTTAAAAGTAGGTCCAAGGTCAAGATCAAAAGTCAAATTTATTTTTATTCAATGAAAGGTTTTCTCACAAGGATTACATATGTGAAGTATGAAAGCCAAAGCCCTTACTGTTCAAAAGTTATGGTCAATGTTAAAGTTTTTTCATAAGTACGTAAATATTTAAGGTCAAGGTCAAAAGGTCAAAGTTGTTGATATCCAATGAAAGGACTTGCCACAAAGAATGCATATATGAAATATAAAAGTCCTAGTATCAACCGTTAAAAATTTGTGTCCAAAGTTAAAGTTTTTTTAAAAAGTAGTTAAAACTCCAATGTCAAGGTCAAAGGGTCAAAGTTGTTGGTATCCAATGAAAGGTCTTCTCACAAGTATTACATATGTGAAGTACGAAAGCCTTAGTTCTCACCGTTCAAAAATATGGTCAAGGTTAAAGTTTTTTCATAAGTACGTAAATCTCCAAGGTCAAGGTCAAAAGGTCAAGGTTGTTGGTATCCAATGAAATGCCTTGCCACAAGAAATACATATGTAAGATATAAAAGTCCTAGTATCTACTGTTAAAAAGTTGTGACCAAGGTTAAAGTTTTTTAAAAGTAGTTAAAACTCCAGGGTCAAGGTCAAAGGGTCAAAGTTATTGGTATCCAATGAAAGGTCTTCTCAAAAGTATTACATATGTGAAGTATGAAAGCCTTAGTTCTCACCGTTCAAAAGATATGGTCAAGGTTAAAGTTTTTTAATATGTACGTAAATCTCCAAGGTCAAGGTCAGAAGGTCAAGATTGTTGTTATCCAATGAAAGGTCTTGTCACAAACAATATATATGTGAAATATGAAAGTCCTAGTACCTACTATTCAAAAGTTATGGCCAAAGTAAAAGTTTGGAATTTTTGTGTAAAAGTGGGTCAAACTCCAAGGTCAAAGTCAAAAGGTCAAATTTGGTGGTACCCAAAGAAAGGTCTTGTCACAAGGAATACACATGTGAAATATGAAAGTCATAGCTCCACTAAATCAAAAGTAATGGGCAAGGTTCAAGTTTTTGTGACGGACAGACTGACAGACGGACAGACTGACGGACTGACAGACTGACGGACAGACGAATGAGATTTAATGTCCCCTCGCTTTCGCGAAAGCGGGGGACAATTATATTTCATAAATTTAATATAATTTTTGGACTTTTCAATAGGTTCAACCAGTGTGAAGTTATTCCTACAAGTAACTGAGCCTTCTGTGAACTACTTACTGGACGACTGTAGTTTACAACAGCTTCCTCATAATCAACACTGGCATACTGATGCTGTCAGTAGAATAAGTAACATCAGGAAGGCGTCAGTGTCGCTCAGGTATCGGCATCAATTAAATGTTTGATAACGGCAATTGATGGCCACATTCGATTCCAGAATTTTTAACTTAGACAATAGAATAGATTCCAAAATTTTTAACTTAGACGATAAAATTCCAAATATATTTATAGAATGGCGCACGGAACACACGCTGATGGTATATCAATACAGGTAGTAATATTGTCTGAAAGACGATAATCTTTTTGATATCTGTTTTTAAATTCAAATTCGATACACCATTTCTGTTTCTTTACTGATTGCCTGTCCACAAAAAAGACCAAAAAGCTGAGCATTTAATGCACTGGACTTTTAGTCCTTTGCAAATTTATTTTTTTTTTAAAAGATTAGTTAAAGCTGCAAAAAAAATTTCTTCAAAGAACTGTTTTCATGCTCGGGACACGTTTTACAGCTTGTTCAGCAGAGACACGCCTTTCCGTTTGGTACAGCAGTAAAAGCATCTTTACTGGTTGATGACGCACACCATGCCTATCAGGACTTTATATATAACAATTTTAACTGGGCTGTCCTGGAAAATGCTCTTAAGTGGAGACTCCTTGAATGGACAGAGGTTAGATTTATAGCTGGACAAAATATCAAAAAGAATTCAGAGCACAAAAATAGGAAACATTATTTATTTATAATTTTTACTTACAGGGACACACAAAATTTGATACAGCAGTGAGAGCGATAGCGACACTACGATCACATGGGTAAACAGTTTCTTCTTTCTATTTAAATTCTTGTTCTCAGTTCTTGAAAGGAAACCGTCATTAATCTTTTAAATAATACTCACATGGTAGGAGTACACGCCATGTGTTACCGGTCTGCAGGGGATGCTAACTCTTCCATGGGATCTTATCCCATGTTTCCTAGATCCTTGTTTGTTTTGCTCATAATTTTCGTCGTTTGAATGGAATTTTAGGCTTGAATACTGTTTGTAATCTCCATATATTTCATGTAAATGTTTGTAGATTACATGTCAGGGGACATAACGTATTTTGGGCGGTAGATGGACATTCACCAAAGTGGTTAGCAGGAAAGTCCCATACGGAATTTATCAATGAAATGAAAAGGCACATCAATGACGTTGTATCGAACACCAACGGGACGTAAGTTGGGACTTTCGGTTACAACTAGAAGCAAAAAAACACATCATATAGCTCGTTAAAACGCTGATTCATTTTCAGTGCAAAAAAAAATACAAAGGTTAGCTAAAATCTCAAATTTCGTACGAAACTTTTTATCCAAATCATGCAAGTATTTACTATTTAATTAGATAATTATAATTATACAAAAGAATCAGAAAAAGCTAAATAAACAGTTTTTAAATTTTCAAATGATGTAGGCTCCTTTTTATAGGTGCTTTTATTTTCTCAGAAAGAGGAGGTTATATTGTTTTGATTCCAATTTTGCCTTTAGATTGATAAAATTTAATCCATTTTTTTTCTTACATAGTTTAGATCACTGGGATGTTTATAACGAAGCATTACACGGACGTTACTTTGAGGAACACACTGGCGACCCTGATATCATCCAAAAAATGTTCAGTTGGCTTCATGTCGCTCAGCCACAAACAAAGCTATTCCTTAATGACTACAATATTGTGAATTCAAATCTTTTTACTACGGTTAGTGTAAAACGAACTCCATAGACAGGATTCAGAAATAATTGTAAGCAACCGAGTTAAAAAGTGTTAGATAAAGTGTTTAATTATTTCGATTTCCTTTCGGACTTAAAGGATAACAGTATTGATAACACTTACTTATTTGTTCCTTTAGGCTCTGAAAAACCAGGGACTACAGCTAATCAAAGACAGAGTTCCATTGCATGGGATTGGTATTCAGAGTCACATTAAGAACTCTCAGATAAATCTTGATGTACTTAAGGTACCTTAAATTCACAAAATGTTCAGTAGTAATTAAATTGTTTCTTTACAAATATCTAAGTACGTTAACTTGACGTTTTTAAATATTGTATAATCAGTTTCTCAGTATTTTGAAATCAAAAAAGAGGATAACAAAAATAAATGTCTGGTGAGTATTGGTATGCTTTTATGTCACATGCGATGACTATTAAATTACCGCACTCATATCTAAAGCCAAGCATATACTGTATAAACACACTAGAAAATCATTAAGTGCTCATGGCTGATCCTTTCTAATATTCTTTAAAAATTCACCAATGCCATGGTATTCAACAGTAATTTTGTCTTTATAGTGTATAATGAATAATAAGATATTTTGTCTTTGTTATACAGAAAGGACAAAGAGGGTTTTTGTATTTTGTAGTACAGACTGGATAAGGTAGCAGAAGCTGGACTGAAGATCTGGATAACAGAGCTAACGATTCTAGAATCCGACAGTACCAAAAAGGCAGCGGCTTTGGAGGAGCTTCTTACTCTGTATTTTAGTCACCCTGCGGTAGAGGGCGTTCTGTTGTGGGGGTTCTGGGACGGAGCAATATATGATCCCAATGTGTCACTGTTTACAGGATCTTCTATAGCAGTGAGTATCCAATGTGTCACTGTTTACGGGATCTTCCATAGCAGTGAGTATCCAATGTGTCACTGTTTACGGGATCTTCCATAGCAGTGAGTATCCAATGTGTCACTGTTTACGGGGTCTTCCATAGCAGTGAGTATCCAATGTGTCACTGTTTACGGGGTCTTCTATAGCAGTGAGTATCCAATGTGTCACTGTTTTCGGGGTCTTCCATAGCAGTGAGTATCCAATGTGTCACTGTTTACGGGATCTTCCATAGCAGTGAGTATCTATTGTGTCACTATTTACGGGGTCTTCTATAGCAGTGAGTATCCAATGTGTCACTGTTTACGGGATCTTCTGTAGCAGTGAGTACCAATGTGTCACTGTTTACGGGATCTTCTATAGCAGTGATTATTTCATCATGAATCAACTTTGGATGGTAATTTGTGACTGATTATCGGTTAACTATCAAGAAAATGCCCAACTGTTTAAAGTATCCTCTATCCTCTATTAAGTAAGTTTAACAATACATTACAGCATTAACAGTTAATATTTTCAGGAACTTTCGTATTATTTTGGAAATTCTGGTGCGGCTGTAAACATCCTTATAACCAGAATGCTACAAAACTAATGCTACAAAACTACAAAGGTTCATTCTCTATAAGGCCATTTTCCGGCCTACGATAAAATCACTTTAAAATGTGATTTTATATAACTATAATCATTCCAGTTCATGATTTTGATGTTTGTTTTTCAACATCAAACATCTAAGTCACGTGATTTAGAGATAAAAAATGGCTGTAAGTAAAAAAAAATTGAGGGTAGGTCTATTTAAATCAAGTTTCTATGCATGTTTCTGAATGTAAATTATCAAAAATTGTTTCTTTGTGTCGGAAATACATAAGACTTAAGCAATAAATTCGAGGATTTTTGAAATTTAAGGTTCAAGATATTTTTTATGACAAGAATTCCGATGCATCCACATTTTGCATATTTTGAACGCAAATCTTTACGAAATTCACACTGTATGGTGCTGAAAAAAGTTTGATTGGCAATTTATTGAAAAGTTTTAAATCATATATAATTATATTGTAATTGTATATCATTTCTATAGATGTGGTACTTATCTTACGCATAAAATAATCATGTTAGAAATGAGGTTTCTAAACTCATAAGTTTCTATTGAACTCTAAAAGTTACGTATCAAATGTTGAATGTACTTAATGGATTTTGATTGTGGTTAAATAAAAAATTAAGAAAAGAAATTCAACAATTGCAAAAAATAAAGAATTAATAGCTTAATAATATCAATGCAAGTACATGTTGACTATCCATATACGTATAAATAGTCAATACATATAACTCAGAGCGGTTGCATTAAAATATCCATCTCTAAGTAAAATGAAATAGCGTCGTAAAATAGCTTTGCTTTTATTTTATTACTCTTGTTGCACGATACATACAATTAAAAATGCCATCTAAACTTTATGTATTTACATGTATAAAAGTTGACCCCCCCCCCCCCCAGTGTCTAACAGCACAACATAAAATGGAGTAGAATTTTAACAGTTCCTTCAAATATGCATATCAGATTCTAAAGTTTCCGTATATTAGTATACGGACTTAGGAGTTCTACAATATCCCAGATACAAAATGAACCCTAAGGGTTTGATGGGCCTTTCCAATCTTGAAACCTGTAGGTTAAATTCAGTCTCTTTCCCAGTGCAGCGTCAAAAACTTGTTTAACACGGATAGTGACAGTTCCCTGCCTAGGTCTTTAGCATTTAAGGTAAATGTCATGGGTCTCTTGGATATTATCTTTTTTTATATATAAAAAAGGTCCCGTCCTGCGTTGGGCGTTGGTTAGTAATGCAACTATGCATAAACACTTGACCTTAAGTGGATGATCTCTTTATCTGGTTGAAAAGTCCTTAAATGGGGTAAAGCAACATTCAATTATCAATCACATATTGCATTTAGGAATCTCTCTCCTCTTTACCAGTTTATTTTTCTAAGACAGGACTACTGTTCTCGTAACATATATCGATGCTATCAAAGGAGTGTGATGAAAAGACAGTCCTCTCAATATTAAGACCTAGTTTACAAAATATGGATCACGTGATACTCGTACGGAAGTGTCCATATAAAAATTATGTGTGTACCCATAGGAAAAAAAGTCTATAACACATATAATAAATGCATGTTAGCGCTTCAACCAAGATTGCTTTTATCATTTCTAGAACATATACAGCACTCATAAGGAAATACAAAGAATATATGCAATACTCATAACGGAATTCAAAGAAGTAGCATATAAAGATAAACTAAATTATCATTATAAATATAAAAGATAACTCATATTTACACCTTAAAGCCTATAAAAAGTTTTTATTTCTTAATTTTTATCAGACATTTCAAAGAAACGTCTCCACTTGTAATTTCATGACATCCAGTCTTCTCAGTCCTTTGATTTTTAGATTTTTAAGTAAAAAGTTAACATTTTTTAAAGTAAATATG